TAACCTGTAATCAGAAAAAAAAAAAAAAAAAAGTTGAAGCAGAATCGCTTTTTATAATAAAGCGTTCGCTTTTTCGCTTTTTTCGCTTCTTCGCTTTTTCGCTTTTTCTCGCTTTTTTCTCGCTTCGCTCACGTTCGCTTCGCCTGGGGTCCTCCAGGCGAGATAAGCTCGCCTCGCCTCGCTTCTCGCCTAGGCGAGCGCCTAGGCGAGCTTTTCAAAACACTGCACCAAAGTAAAGATTATTCTATCTGTTCACTCTGAAAACGTTTAAAACCATTTAGCAAAGGGATATGAACTATAGATTGAGACATATGAGTAAAACTGCAAAATAAACATTACATGCTTACAATCCATTGTTGGGACTTATCTAGTGGGACCCATATGCACAATTGACAAAGTGCAAACTTGGGTTTTTGGAATAAGGATATCCCAATTAAAAACCTAACCTATGTAGGTTTGATTAATAGACAGTTTCCTTGTGAAAGTGGTGTCTTACGTATAAAGAAGCATTTTAATTCTCTGACAATTTTCTTGATGGGAGGGAACAATTTATGATGATTATTTAAATTGAAGTGTAGTTGGTTATCAAAGAGAGATAAGTTGCATAAGAGACCCCATTTTTTATTCATGCTTATAAAAGTCTTTTACTCTCTGAAAAGACTATATCTGTAATTTACGGAGAATCAAGTTCATGAGTGAATTCAGTATTCTTCTATTGAAATTTTCTGCTGTAAATTTCAAGTAAGAATCATCATCAATCCCGTGAGTCAAGGTTAGGATTTCTATTCAATCCGATTTATGACCATTAGGTCTATCAATTGTTATCAGTGCAGGTCATGGGATCTAACCAAACCAAACAAAACCATACCAAACCAAGCCTTATATCCCAATCATTTGGGTTGGTTAGAGCAAGTCATGGGATCTGAGTCTTAAATTTTATTTTGATTTACGTTACCAAAATTATGAACAAAAAATTATTAGACGGTAATACAGGCTTTGTTCTTTATTATTATTTTGATAGGAAACAAAGATATTAATAAAACAAATGGATACAATTCAAAATAGATAGCAGAGTTGGACAAGAAGTCCAACTGCTTAGCATTACACCAAAAAGGCATTCCATGAAGATCAAAAAACAAACATTAAGAAAAATAACATCCGCATACAACAATCCAACTTGCCATGATTTCAAAAAGAGACATATTTGCAAGCTCCTCAGAGACCAAAGCCCAAAAAGAAGCTAAGAAAAATTTGCAATTCCATAACCCTTCATTCACCTCACACTTATCCTCAAAGATTTCTTGCATTTCTCTCCAACCATACCACCTAGATAATGGCAAACATTGCACAATTCCAAAGAGTAACTCCACTACTCTTCCATTCATATACAACTCTGTTCTTTATTATTGACGTCGATACCCTCATTGTATACCATACCTAATATAGTGTTTGACAATTTCTCTGGTTGAATGCAAAGACTACACAATGCATAAAGGCATGATATATGGGTATTGATTTATTGTTAGATATTTGATATTGCAATTAATAAATGGGTATATTGAATGCTTTTGTTATGGGCATTATTTATCATATGTGGTGTAGACTTTGAAAAGTCGATGCATGTTTTGTACTTGTCATTGTGTGTTATTGTGTTGTATAACTTGTATTAGACAATATTATTTGCCACTGTTTGATGACACAACTACAAGTTGATGACGTTTTGTCCATGAAAATTTATTCGAATCCAATTTTGGGCAAACTCAATTATTTTAATTATTGGATTTGTATGGGCAAATTTATTTGTTTAAATGTCATGATTTGAAGTATTCTATACATAATGATGAGCCAAAACATCTTATGCATGGAAATATGTTTGATAAAATTATGTTTATTTTAATTTTACGGTGACGAGCCAAAACACCCCATAATTTTAAAATGCAAGGGAATTTATCAATAAAACAATTTATATTTATCCATGACATTGAACACTTGCACCATATAAAATAATGGCTTGAACCCAAAGGAAAGCTACTATATCATAGTGAACGATGGGGGTAATTGTACGTACTTTGAATTCTTGGTGCCCAAAGGTCTTGAATTCATCTTTTCTATTATGCTCCATTCCATTAGTTTCATGGTTGAGATCGGTAAATAGTGATATTATTTTATAAAGTGATTTACCACTAAAATTACTAATATAGGTTAGTAATTTAGATAAAGTTTAAGTGTGATTATTAGCATGCATATTAATTATACGCAAGTAATGTTTATTTTGCAGCTTTATTTCCTAGCCTTATATCTCAATCTGCATCTCATATGCCTTTGTTAAATGGATCAAATATTTTGAAGTGGAAAAATAAAATAATCTTTACTTTGGGATGCATGAAGATTTATATGGCGCTCTGTGAGGATAGACCACCTATCCCAACAGAATCCAGTACGACAGAGGAGAAAAAGATGCATGAGAAATGGGAGAGGTATAACCGCCTTAGTCTCTTACTCATGCAACGTCACATCTCTAGGAAATTCAAACATAGAAGAAATCTTGCCTTTTCCTTTCACTGGTAGGTAAAAATCTGACACAATCTCCATAATAATTTGAATTTTGACAGTTGGTTGGTCACAAAGTTATCACTATCAATATCATCATTCTTTCTTCTTTTCATTTTGTAAACCAATGTGTTTGCATTTGATTTCACAAACAAACTGATGAAACTACATCAAATTAATACGGATAACAAAAAATATTCATAATAAGCAATACAGAAACATGTTTTCCAATGCATTAAGCCTTTGAACATTTCAAAGCAGGAGGAAGTCAGTTCAAAATGCATCATTCTTGGCCAAATAACCTGGCTGTCCCATTATATTTATGTTTGTGATGTTTACTAATTTTAAATTTCGAAATCTATGTAGATTCAACCAAGAAGACTTCGGAATTGGAAACACTGCAGAAACAGAACAAGGAGAAAACATTAAGGATACAAGAGCTCAAGAAACAAAAAGCAGCACTGAAGCTTCAGCACTGAAGCTTCGATTATAGAAAGTTCCAGAGGAGAAGAGGGAAACTTTCAGAAAACAAAGTGAGAAATACAACAGCCTGAGAGATGAGTCCAATGTACTGTTCCGTAAAAAGTCACAGGAACCCAGGCAGTAATCCAGTCTCTTTCATTCTCCATTTTGCAACTCATAATATGTTGCAGAATCTCGCAAAATCATAACTATTAGATTCTGCTTTCTTTTAAGATTGAGTAGTTTATGCAATATGAATCTACAGCAATCATTCCTCTACTTCTAGTTTGTATCAAACATGTTTTTGGAGTATTGGTATTGTTAAAAAAAAGGGAAGTATAGCACAATAGCAGATTAGGTTTGGGAATAATTCAAATACTCGTATAATAGAAACAAATAGGTGTCTTATTGCAATTCTTAATCATCCTCGAGTCTAATATTTGAAATGTAAAGCAGTGCTGAAACAACATATGATGAAAATACTACCTATCGGAAAAATAAAAACATATGATGAAAACAATTCCAGGGAGAGAACAATATACTCATTAAAGAAAGATCAATTGTCAACTGAAGGTATATAAATAATTTTTCTGTTTTTTTTTTGAACAGCCCATAGTTTCTTATCCAACAATGATATCTCTAGTGCACAAGAAATTTACCTAAATCAGAATATTAGCCCCCAAAGTTTATCTCTATCTACAAAAGTAAATGCTTGAGCGGGAAAAATACAAATATTACCAAATTAGAGGGCGATTGGGGCGGCTATGGAGGTCGAACAGTGGCGCCGCAACGGCTGCAGCCGCGGCGTCGCAGCAGCTCTAGAATAGGGTATGAAAGAGAGAGACAAGAGAGATTGAGAGTGAGCATAGACGAGCTCAATTAGGAGGGAGGAGGAAAATCACATCGCAGATGTGGAGAGAAGAGAGGAGGAAAACTGAGAACGAGAAATAGGCTGGTGGCGGTAATTGGTGGTTGTTTTGCGGTCGGTGGGGGGGGGATCGGAGACGACAGAGCAATGGTGGCTTCTATTGGTTGGGGGTAGTTCGGCAATGCCAGTTACAGTGAGAAGAGAGATCGAGAATGTGCGTGCGTGCGTGTGTGTGTGTGTGTGAGAGAGAGAGAGGGTGAATCCGGTTTTTCGTGAATCTGGGGGGAAATGTAAATGGGCTCTTCCACTGGCGAATGACTATTCATTCATGTAATGTATAATTATTCTATCTATAACAATTGGGGTATATTTTGTACATTTGATTTTTTTTTTTAATGGTAACATCAAGTGACGATGATGTCATTGTCACATTGTTACTGTATAACGCTATTTTCTTAGTTCCATTATCATCCATTATTTGACGATTTTTGTCGATGAAGTAAGATCAACAATAATATTTTTTTGTTTTTTGTTTTAATAGATTAATCATCGTGAATATAACTAATATATGTGATCTCCTAAAATAAATAGAATATTATAGGAGATATGAATTTAAAGACAATACATAAATAAGATATTACAGAAAATCTAGATTTAAAGCTAATTTTTTACGACATTTTTCTTTAACGACGGGTTGTTTCTAGTTTTTTGGTACGATAAGGTTTCACGCCATTGCAAAGGATTGTTTGTTTGTTTTTTTTGGGATGTTTTTCTGTAGTAATGTATCTCAGAACAAAGAGTATGGGTACAAGGGACTAGTAAAATGAAGGATAGAACATGTTATGTATTTTAGGAGCTAGTTTAATTGCCAATAACAACTACGAAACCTCAAGAAAAAATTGATGGATTTGAACGTTAGAAAAAAACTCATTCAAGTTTGATATATATCGATCAGGTATCAATGAGAATTCAATATAATACACTAGGGTTACCAGTAAAATGTACGGTAAGTGTGTTTGGTTAAAACATAAGTGAACACATTAAAATATAAAGAGACAGATCGTAGTTAAGTTTTAGTTTGTAGATTGTTGCAAAATAGAGATTATCAATGGTTGAATTTAAGCATTTATTCCAATAGCAAAGAGATAAAAAAAAAAACCATTTATTACATTCGAGGATTGGTGGGGAATGTAAAATTTCTGGTAATGTCTGCAGTACTAGGATGCTCTTTATCACTTCAAAGTAAAACTAATATTGTACTTTGGCTGCCTATTGGCGAAGAACAACCCAAAATGTCTCTCTGTCTCGTCACCATCCTTTTGATTCTCATCAAAAACGGCAAACAAATAAGTCTCTATTGCCTTTCCAGGCCTTTTAGGAGTCCCTTCTTCCACATGACCAATCAAATTCTTGTAGTAAGTGGCTGCATTATCAGTAGTTGCCCATGTACCTCCCTCCGACGGCCAACCAGATTCCGATACGACAATCTGCAGACTCTCTCCTCCCAACTTCTCCACTGCAGTGTACATTCCATCCAACAATGCATCAAAGAGATTTTGGTATCCCAATCCACCATCTTGTACGACGACCCCGGGGGCGGTGAATAAGGCATAGGGGAGCTGAATGGTTGGTGTGTTGAAAATGTAGGTGAAGTAGGGGTACACATTGACAAGGAGTGGTGAATTTATGCTAACCAAGTACCCAATTATCGGTTCCATGTATGGCCTTGCATTGTCAGTGAAGGAGGCTTGTGATGGCCTGTCATAATTCTCTATTAGCCTCAAGTCTATTGCTGTCGAGACCTTGATTCGGGTTTGTAGGCCAGCATTGGCAATGGCATTGTAGACGTTTTGTATCGCGGGGAGAAGGAAGGGAGGTGTTGAATCGGTAGGTTGTACCTCATTCCCAACAGCAATGTATTTGATATTGACATTGGTGATGTAGTTTATGACATTGTTCTGGACCCATTGGCTTGCTGTGGCATTGCTAGACGCAAAGCTTTGAAGGTCATTATTGGTGACACCGAGGATGAGCTCTATGTTTGATCCTCTGAGGGCCTGGAGAGTTGCTGTTGGATCGGGATCGTAGATTCGCATCCTTCGAATGTAATTTGATTCATAGAGCTGCACAGTTTCTGCTTTGTTTGGTAAATTATCGGCATCCCCTCCGAAACAAACCCCTATGGACTGTGCACCTGCATCAAGGATAGGAAGGAAGATATAGAAGCTATTAGAGATGGGTTCCTTTTAGCATATACTGGAAGGTTTTTCAATTAATGTTGCAAGGAATCCAGCCAGTTTCTAATGCAGTCCATGGTTTTCAACATCTACGCGCGCAAGCACACACCCACTAGCTTGTATCAAAGCATCCAATACAAAACCGATTGACAATAGATGAAGAATCGCACGAGGCTCATATATTTGTGAATAAGTATTATTATAACGATGGGGAATGAGCTCTAATACTCCTTTGCACTCCCATTGACAAAAGATTCGAAAAATAGGCCGGATCAAAATATGGTAAGGTACTGTACATCACCAACAAATGAGAAATCAATTAATATAAAATAAAGAGTCTCCCTCATCAAAAGTTTCTCAAAGTCATCACCTAGTTCTAAATGTTGGGAATTGAAAGCAAAATAGATCACCAAAACAAAGACAAAAATCTGCTGCACTATTACACCAATTTCACTCAAGAAACACATCTATATTTCATCAAAAATGATCACAATATCAAGCAATACGAAGGAGAAGACTATCCTGTTTTTCAGCAAGAGAAACACATAGTAAGCTATAGAAAGAACTTACAAATAGAGCTTCTGCCCAGGGGACACATATGCTGGTTTTTTCTTTCCAGCAAGACTCAATTTTTTTTTTTACTCTCTCACTCTCTGTTTTTCTGCATAAAAACTCTCTGTTTTGGCAGCAACTCTTAGCCCCTGTTATACCTCTGTTTTCCAGGCGAAAGTCTTTGAATCTGGCCACTCCATGGCCAAGGAACCAACTTTTGTTGGTTCGGTTTTCGCATAGCTGTGCATGAACAGACCTCCCAAAAAAATTCTGGACTCTTTTACTGCCTCTTCAAATGCACAAAAGACATGCTTAAATACCATCTAACGCCATAACTTTTCAATATTATATCATAAACCCAAAAGTAAAATACAAAAACTACCCATTAAAGAATTGGGTTTATAAAACTAACACTAAAAGCTTAGATCATTAGAGAGATTGCAACATAAATATTATTATATTTTTAACATACACAAACGTGCAAATAGAGAGAGAGAGAGAGAGAGAGAGAGAGAGAGAGAGAGAGAGAGAGAGAGAGAGAGACCTGTTATTGTTATTTCCAGGCTAGCCAGTGCAAGGACAAGTAATATTGATGTAGTAGCCATGAAATGTCTCTGAGCCAGAGCATACAACATGGCCATGGAGAAGAAGCAAGAGGGAAAAACCAAAACTTTAACTTTGTTGCTGTGAGGTACCCCCTCAACACTAAGTTCTGACTTGCCCAAATCCAATTCACACATTTATAGGTTTCAAATGTTGAAAGGTCTTGTGTTGTTGCCAATCAACTCTTCCTGCAAATGCATTCATACCATAAAAGTAATCAACAAATCCAATAAAGTCCAAGGTTTCTAGTAATCCATGTGATAAGATTGTCAAAGTCCCATACAGTTCTTCCACTGACTAGTCAATTTTTCCATGTGCCATTTCTTGTGGCTATTCTTTTGCACCACACTTATCTGACAATCTTGTAAAGTCTTGGATTTAGAAAAAACCCAATTTTGAGATTTCTAACAAGAGATTGGAGCATATTAGTCCAAATATATTCATCTCTCTCTCTCTCTCTCTCTCTCTGTATTAGTTAGACAAGAACAGATTGCCAAAGTTGAGGCCAGTCATAATTCTTCTTGGAAATCACATATCTAGCAAATCTCAGTTGCACATTACAGCTTCTTGTTTTTATTAACATATTAACCTAGGGTATGTTTGGATCGCGGGTTAAAAGGGGATAATTCTTGTAGGATAAGATAAAAAAATAGATGGGGTCCTTATATCCGACGTTTGGTTAGATGTGCTTCGGATACATTATGGACATGTCAAGAAAAGTCTTACATATATTGAACCCATTTTGTAATTTAAAAGAAAATTGTGGGGCTATTTCAATGTGGTGTAAAATTGGTGTATGTAGATAAAAAAAAAAAAAACTAGGGTCACAATTTATAGTTATCGAAAGAGTTGGAGATAAAAAAAATATCATCCTAATTTTAGAATAACTAACCCTTTTAATCAAAATAGAAATAATATGTCAAACGAGCTAAGATGCAGCTTACTTTAATTTGGGGTCTGAACAGTCAGCGACAATACTAAAACACTAGGTAATTCTTGATAACTTTTGATTAGCATGGGAATGATAATATTGATTTGTGCTTTAGTATTATTTTTCCATACATAGTGATCCTGCTAAAACTATTTAAGACTAAAAAATATATGAAAAAAATTTTAACAGAAAATTGCATGTAGATACATTTTGAAAAACTTATTTGATTTTAAGTATACAACTCATACTTTTCGGTTATTAAGTCAATTGGTGTCTAAAATTTTAGTTATTAAGTACATATTTGCAGTTTTAAATATTTTTTTATTACTTAATTGCCCTTACCTTGATTGAAACTTAGACGTGCATCGAACCGTCTATAACTAACAGCTCATAATGTCACGTCTACACGCCTCTTCATTTTTCAAGATTTAGGGAGCCTTGTCCCATAAATCATCTTGTTTCACTTGGACTCTTTCTGACTTTATCTTAATTGTTGGATGTCGTCATGTGTCGTTCTCAGATCTTTTAATATTTAGGTGTAAACAATTACATGAGAGAGAGAAAGAGAGGAAGAACCACCCCAACACTGAGAAGGAAAAGATTAAATCAAAAGCGAGACAGAGGGCTTGTCAGAGATGACGGACAAAATACAATAAAGAGTGTCAGCGAAGTTTTGAATAATATATGAGGCGTGTTTCAAGATAAAAAAATTTACATGAATTGTGAATAATTATTGTCAATCCAAGTACACTTTGAAAAATATATTTTTCGATTATTAAGTTCATTGACGCCTAAAAGTTCAGATATTAAGTACAAACTGCACTTTTAAATATTTCCTTATTACTTAATTGCCCTTTCCTTGGTTGAAGCCTGGATGTGCATTGAACCGTCCATAACTAATGGCTCATGATACTATCCGTTAATTGGACACAAATGGTACCTTGATGTTTCTTACCATCGATTTGATTGTTGTCCAAGAATGTTGAGCCTATATCTTGAGGTAACTTATTTCGCATTACTACAATTGCATGTCTTTATTAAATTTGACAAAATGTTGTCACTTTATCCGTAAACTACACAATTTTGTTTTATTTTGTTCTAAAAATCAGATGATGTGTGAATATTTTTAATTCAAAAAATATGAAACATTTGTTTTTTAGTGAAAAACTCAACAGATATAAAGTGAGATAGAAACTATAGTTTAAGGCATAATTATAATTTGCCATTTGCTTAATTCAAACCAACCTCCCCCCTTTCTCTCTCTCCCCCCAACCAAGATGACTAAAAGACTCCAAAAAGTAAGAGATTCTATTAAAGTAGATTAATCAAGCTCTATAGCCTGTGTCACTGTGTGTTCTTTCCCATTCTCAGCCTTGATGTAGAACGGGAAGGACTACAAATCACACAATAGAAAGAGAAGAAGAAAGAAGAAGGAGTGAAAGGGGTTTACTTCATCCTCACAAAAAATCAGTGAAGAAACACACAAATCTCCGCAGAGAATACTCAATTCTTATTCATAATCTCTAATAAAAACAATTGAGATTACACCTTTATTTATAGGCTAAGTTCCCCACCAAAATAAAAACTACTTTCCTACTAAAATACTAAAAGAGTTTTATAATCAAACTCTCAAATCCCTATCATACTAAACTCTATAATAATTTCCTAGTTAAACTCTAATTAAAACTTCTAGTCAAATAAATACTCATAAATCAAATAATAATAATAAACTACCAATTACACTTCCCTTTGGACCAAAAATTCCTAGTTTTTCGCCTAGGCTTCCAAAGTCGATTACATTGGTCCAACCAACCAATAGCTGTGCCATCAATTCTCCCCCGCTGAAATAGAACTCGACTCTGGCGAGTAAGGAGAAGGGCCAAGAATACCATCTGATGGGAAGCTCTCTGAATCAACAACAAACTCTTTTTCAATTGTAGTGTACGCGCATCTGTAGCACAAGTAAGAGTATACTTCTTTCTTCCAATTACAAAAGAATAGGTATTAGCACGCCCCGCATGTTGTGCATCACGATCCCATATCCAAGTGCGCCCTTAAAGTATATGACAAAGCTTGAGAGGCAATACATCACACATGACGGTCTCTTTAAGACTTCCAATGGTGAATATAACTGGACATCTCTTATCAACTTTCAGCTTCGTATTAGTAATCCATGCTACATGATATGGTTCCGGATGTGGTTCAACTTTCAAATTTAGCTTATTCATGACCTCTTCTGATACCACATTTGTGCAATTTTCCGTGTCAATCACTAATGAACATATATGTCCTTTACAACAAACTCTTGTCTGAAAGATTTTTTCTCGATGAATAAACTCACCATTAGCAACTTCTTTATTAGCAATAAGTAGAGGACGAAAAACACCCATAAAATGATCATCACCCAAATCATCAAAATTAACCTCACCCACATCAAGAGGTTCTATAATCTCTGTTTCAAATTCTGGCTCATCAGAATCATTATGCACTTTAGAACCTTCCTTTTCAACCACAACAATAGATTTTGAGGGGCACTGCAACGAGAGATGGCCAAAACCAAGACAATTAAAACATCTTGTCTTAGAATTAGTACCCCTTGAGAAGAAGATTAGCACTAGCCTGAGATGATTTGTTGGGAATAAAAGTATTCTCTTGGGGTATATTAGTGGACTTATCTTGATTTGCATCTACAACAATTCTCTCAATCCGGGTTGGAGGTGCCATAGAAGATCTCATATAAGATCTTTTTTTCAACTCATCTTCCATCTGATAGGCAACCTGAACTGCATCTGCCATGGTGTAAAGTCTACTTGCAGCTAAACTCGTAGAAATTTGTGAATTGAGACCTTGCCTGTACATGGCAATCATTACATCCTCAATCCATGGAAACTCTGATCGGGTAGCTAAGCTGTAGAACTTTCCTGTGTACTCCTCCACAGACATACTCTCTTGATTCAATTGTGTAAACTGTAGATGAGCTCATTGCTTATAATTAGTAGGTACAAAGTAGATGGTCATATCAGTCTTCATATCATCCCATGATCTATCAAAGTGAGTTTGTTGGTACTTTACCCACCAAAGTCTTGATATACCCTTCAATTTTGATTTTGCAAAGAATAGCTTCCTCTCATCGGTCAAACGATACTATCTGAAGAAGCTTTCAATGCTATGCAACCAATCAAGGAATATCTCGGGAATATTGTCCCGGTGAAAATCTCCAACCTCTAATTTAACCACTTTATCAAAATCAAACAATCTTGGGTCTTCTCAAATTGGGCCTTGTGGTGGAGGGACTTGTGTGAGCATTGGTTGTTGATTCATAGCCGATGAGGAGGAATCATGATTTGCATGCATCTCCACTCCTTTATGATTTGCATGCATCTCCACTCCTTTACCTTTTTTATCTAATAGATAAGCTTCCATGATCTCCTTTAGTGATGTTATAGACGCCTCTAGTGAATCCATCCTCTCATTATGGCCTTTTGTGAATTAATTTGTGCTTGGGATAAAGCCTCCACTTTAGCATTTAATTCGGCGTTGGAAACCATCATAATCAAGAGGAAATTCTAAAATTTCTGGTGGTGGTTCTACAACTTCTGAAATTTTTTGTAGTGTTTCTGTAATTTTTGAAATAGCTGGTATGTTGCTGCAATTTTTTGAATCTGTTGGGAGAGTTTTTTTTTTTTTTTTTTTTTTGTAATTGTTCAGCCGATGAACAGTACCCCTGATGAACAAGTTTTTTTTTTTCCTAACTCGACAGTGCCGATGAACAGTACTTATGAACAATACCGGTGAATAGTGCTGATGAACTGTACCGATGAACAATTTTTTTTTGTACGAATCGAAGTTGTGCTCTGATACCAAATTGATGTAGAACGGGAAGGACTACAAATCACAAAATAGAAAGAGAAGAAGAAAGTAGAAGAGGTGAAAGGGGTTTACCTCATCCTCGCAAGGAATCGGTGAAGAAATACACAAATCTCCGCAGAGAATACTCAATTCTTATTCATAATCCCTCTAATAAAAACAATTGGGGTAACACCTTTATTTATAGGCTAAGTTCCCCACTAAAATTAAAACTACTTTCCTATTAAAATACTAAAAGAGTTTTATAATCAAACTTTCAAATCTCTATTCTACTAAAACTTTATAATAATTTCCTAGTTAAATTCTAATTAAA